CCACGCGGCCGCCACCGCGATCCGCGCCGCCGCCCGCGACGCCGCGCCGTCGCCCCGCCGCCGCCATCCGCCATCGCCTCGCCGCCTGCCGTAGCCACCCGCAGCCGCCACCGTAACGATCGTCGAGGTAGCCGCCGTTTTTTTAGAAAACCGATTGTTTTTTTGAAAACCCTAGATCCGGTTTTTCTGTTAGATTGGCTCGTTTTTTCCAGTTTAGTTAAATAGCGGATGTTCTCCGTACGTTCGTTTTAAAGAACGATTTTCACCCGTTAGTCGCAGACAGCGAACGTTTGTTCGTTAGCTTGTTCGTCAGCTTTTCTTTTTCTAGGGTTTTCAGCGATTATTTTTCGATCGTGATTTCTGCCCTGATTTTTGTTTTACTTTATCTTTTCGCTCGTTTGTCAGAATCTGGTGATTCAAGCGCCTAAATCTTCGTGTCGAAGCCCTCTTTCTGTTTAAACAACTTGAACAAGATTTTGGTACTGTAAAATTTGATTAGTAAACGGATCTTGTTTCTTTTGCAGTTTGAGTTTCGTTGCTCCGTTTGTTTTGTTTCTTTTTGCAAACCGGAGTTCTTCAGTTGAACTTTCTGGTTAGATCTCTTATTTGAGTTTTACTCGTGCTTCTAGTTGAGTGCTTATTGTGTGTTATTGTTTGTTTACGATAGAGTACTTGGAGTGCGAAGTGTGCTACTACGAGTCTCTAAGTTTTGCGGATCATCAGCAAGGCAAGTAATACTTTGATCATACCTCTTTACTACCCATTTTTATTGCATTATATCAACCCTCAAACATTGCATGGTTAGGATCTGATTAACATGTGGGTTTTGGGAAGTAGATGATGAGGAAGAACCTATTGCCCTGTTTATTATCAAACCTTTGGGAGTTACCTTTACGTGATGCTTATATTGCTATGCTATGCTTGTAGACGTGGTTTGAGTGAGTGTATCCATGACAGATGTGAGTATTGTTAATTAATGGTTAACTTAAGGTGGCTACTTAAATACACATCTGGGTGGATTGCTAGAGGCACCCTGGAGTACCCAGTGGTTGTCAGGGCACCCGGAGAATCTAGTGTTGTCCTAGGATATCCCGGAGTACCCGTGTGATCATCCTACGGTTCACCACCCAGACTCAAAGGGATCATAAGATTATTCATGCTAGAAACTTCCGTGTGCAACCACAAGCCAATATGGGCTCAACATAGTTGAGTAAGTTGCGTGAAACTCTTGAAGAGGTAGACCAGCAGATGTAGTGGGTTGTAGGTGGTACTGTCTACCCAGAGTAGAGAGTTAATGCTTCAGAAAGACTGTGTCTCGAATCTCCGACCATGGATGTGTTCGAGTCTTCTGGCGAAAAGTGCGCAAACCTCTGCAGAGTGTACAAACTAATCATGGTTAGCTGTGTCCCCGGTTATGGACATCTTGAGTATCTGGTTCTTGGATTATCATGTTGATCTCATCAATCTAAGTTAACTTGATTGGGTTTAATGATGATGCTTAATTGGGATTGAGTTGGAGGAACCTTCTCAATGTTTAACAACCACCATGATAGTTAAATAAAATGTATTCCTTTGTTGTAGGGAAAAGTTGGCTTTATTCAAAACTGTAACCATACAGCTTTCCACCAGCCATATATGCATGTAGTGATAGAATTTATTCTATTCATTACTCTATGTGTTACATTGCCAGCATATTCCATGTGCTGACCCATTTCGGGCTGCAACATTTCATGTTGCAGACTTTTCAGACGACGAGTAAGGTGCCATAGGTCGTTGTCTTGTCTTTCACTCAGCTATGCTGTTGGAGTTGATGGACTCACTTTATCTTCCAAGTCTTCCGCTGTTATCGTTTTTAAGCCATATTATTGTAATAAGTTCTCTTTTGAGACATCCGATGTAATAAGTGTGTGATTGAAACTCCGTTATAGATCCTCAAGTACTATGCGTGTCAGCATTACCGATCCAGGGATGACGCTGATGCACAGAGACTAAACTGTTTGAGGTCTGGTCGCTACAGTTTCGGGAAGCCCCGGGAGGATGATTGGGCCATTAGAGGAGAGCACATCAGCACACAAGGGGCTGGCACCCCCCTATGATAGTCGGCCTATGGGAGAAAGGAAGGAGGGGGATTCGCCCCCCTTCCTTCCCGCTCCCCCCTTTCCTTCCCCCCTCTGGCAAATATGGTAAGGGGGGCGACTATGGAAGGAACCCTAGGAGGATTCAGACTCCTTGGGGCGCCTCCTTGGCTGCTCCCTCTCCCACACCTATATATATGTGGGAGGGGGCGCCACACATAAGCCATGACAATCTCTTAGCCGTGTGTGGCGCCCCTGTCCACAGTTTCGTCCCTCGGTCATATTTTCAGAGTGCTTAGGCGAAGCCCTGCAGAGATAGCATCACCACCACCGTCACCACTCCATCGTGCTGCCGGAACTCGTCCACTACTTCGCCGTCTTGCTGGATCAAGAAGGCGAGGACGTCACCGAGCTGAATGTGTGCTGAACGCGGAGGTGTCATGCGTTCGGTACTTGATCGGTTGGATTGCGAAGAAGTTCGACTACATCAACCGCGTTACTAAACGCTTCCGCTTACGGTCTATGAGGGTACGTAGACACACTCTTCCCCTCGTTGCTATGCATCTCCATGAATAGATCTTACGCGTGCGTAGATTTTTTTCCCTGCAACGTTTCCTAACATTTTTCAGTACTATACTGTTGTACTACTATATTAGGTAGTGACCTGGTACTGTGAGTGAGTGGGAATGGATGCGTAGGTGGTGGGAATGGATTCGTAGGCGGCCGGAGCCAAACCAATTTTTTTATCTTCTGAAATAAAAAGAATCCATTCTTTTTCCTCTAAAAGATCCATTATATTTTACCGGCGTGTCCCATTCACTTGCGTGGGTGCGATTTTTTTATCATCAAGGCTTGTTGCAGTTATGATCATTTGATAAATTTAAAGTTTTTTATATAGCTATCTATAAAAATTGATAAAAGGAATTAATATATTGAAGTTCTGTAATTATGTAGGTCATCTTGCGGCCCTTGCATGTTAAATTTTATGGAGTACTTCACATGAGGTTTTTGTTTGACACTTCTACACATGTATTTTTCGTTGTGTATCTTGACATTTGTTCTTTGTTGTATCACTATTTCAAACTAGCTCTGGCTATTACTTTACAGGATCATATGACAGGTTTTAGAACAAAACTAGCTATCATTTTATTGGACTCGAAATTGAATGATGATAATATAAAAAATTGAGACTTGGAAGATGACGGAAACAACACAGATTCACATGGATTGAATGATTGTGGATAGACCCCTAAGAACGGAAACAACATAGATCTTGCCCTTTTTTTTATTAAAAGGCGTTAAATTTGTTACCATATGTGCTTGCCCACAACTAAATCAACTAAATTATGGATTGTCTTTTTGATGTGCACATGGGTTCAATAGAACTGATGTTTTAGACATGTTTGAAAGTTATAAAACAAATGTCATAGATGACAGTTATTGCTTTTATGGAGACGTTCGAACTAAAGTTCATTTGCTATTCAATGTTTGATGGTCCTTCATTATTTTTATACCGAGGGGCTAAAGCTCCAATCATACATGTTTGCTCAAACCTAAAGCTCCTTACTAATGAAAATGTTTTGAGATCACTTATGATTTTAAAGGTAAATATGTTTTTAAACAAAAGCCTATGTATGTTTTGCTCAAACACAACCGTTGAAAAGTGGAAATATTTTTAATGCAAACTTGGTTTCAAACGGGTCTCTGTGAACGTGGTAGCAAATATTGTGTGTTACCAAATTAAAATGTGTTTTATACATCTCATTGTAGACAACAATCAATCGACCATGTTTCCTATTAAAGGGATTAAATCATGGATATTTTTTTTCATCGCACACATGGATTTAGCGTGCCTCTGTGCCATTTGGCGCAACGGTCCACTAGTATTGTATAATGGGCAAGGTAGCAAATCCGAGGAGTAGAAGTCTAGACCAAGTTTAATGATGTGTAAGCGTGTATACACATCAAAATACAGTACATATTTAATGATTGCAGTAGGGTTTGTCTAAGATACTTACTAGTAAATGAAAGATGGCGTGTGGCGGTCCACCGTCGTTGTCAGAGGAAGTAAGCCGAGATGATTCCGTTGCAATGGCCCATCAGCTTTGAGCAGAGATCTCCCGCGTCCTTTTCCATCTCGCCTACCGCGGTTGCTTCAGCGGCGAGCTACCAACCAGCTGGCGGCAGGTCGGCCAGCGGACGTGTGCAAGAGCAACGACGCAACACCACCAGGAGATTAATTCTGATTTCAGAGAGCAAGCACAGGAACACGTGAGACGTATGTGTACATCGATCGATCACTAGCAGGGAGGTGGTGCTGAGCCATCACCCGCAGATTAATTCAATGGAGTTCTTGTTAAGTAACCCAACCGACGGTGTGACATGCCATCTCGCTCGTTGTTGATGCTTCTTCTTACTACTGTATTATTATTCTTCGCCGGTGCACGGCCTTTAATTGCCTGCCATTTCCTCCTAGTCCGATCAGCTCGATCCATCACTTGTGCTCTAGCTAGCTATCTTACTGTGCACTGTTCTTGCAATAGCATTAGCAGGGGAGTGCAACGATGGAGGAGCTCCGCAAGTCTATGCTTGTGGCTTTGATCCTCGCGGTCACCTGCTCCGTTGCGGTTGCCTATGATCCCCTCGACCCGACAGGCAACATTACAATCAAGTGGGATATCCAGTCATGGACACCTGACGGGTACGTCGCCATGGTGGCGATGAACAACTACCAGCAGTACCGCCAGATCATGGCGCCTGGGTGGACGCTGGGGTGGTCGTGGGCCAAGAAGGAGGTGATCTGGTCCATCGTGGGAGCGCAGGCGACCGAGCAGGGCGACTGCTCCAAGTTCAAGGGCGGCATCCCGCACTGCTGCAAGCACACGCCCTCCGTCGTCGACCTCCTCCCCGGCGTCCCCTACAACCAGCAGATCGCCAACTGCTGCCGTGGCGGCGTCATCTCCGCCTACGGCCAGGACCCCGCCGGCTCGCTCTCGGCGTTCCAGGTCTCCGTGGGGCTCGCCGGGACCACCAACAAGACCGTGAAGCTGCCCAAGAACTTCACGCTCATGGGCCCCGGGCTCGGCTACACCTGCGGCCCCGCCACCATCGTCCCCTCCACCGTCTACTGGAGCGCCGACCACCGGCGCAAGACGCAGGCGCTGATGACATGGACGGTGACCTGCACCTACTCGCAGCAGCTGGCGTCGAGGTACCCGACCTGCTGCGTCTCCTTCTCCTCCTTCTACAACAGCACCATCGTGCCGTGCGCCAAGTGCGCGTGCGGCTGCGGCGCCCACAAGAGCATGGGCGGCCGCGGCGGCAAGAGCCACAGCGACGGGTGCATCATGGGCGACTCCAAGCGGGCGCTGACCCCCGGGGTGAACACGCCCAAGAAGGACGGGGCGCAGCTGCTGCAGTGCACCAACCACATGTGCCCCATCCGGGTGCACTGGCACGTCAAGCTCAACTACAAGGACTACTGGCGCGCCAAGATCGCCGTCACCAACTTCAACTACCGCATGAACTACACGCAGTGGACGCTCGTCGCCCAGCACCCCAACCTCAACAACGTCACAGAGGTCTTCAGCTTCCAGTACAAACCCCTCCTCCCCTACGGGAACATCAACGACACCGGCATGTTCTACGGCCTCAAGCTCTACAACGACCTGCTCATGGAGGCCGGCCCCTTCGGCAACGTGCAATCGGAGGTGCTCATGCGCAAGGACGATAGGACCTTCACCTTCAGCCAGGGATGGGCCTTCCCACGCAAGATCTACTTCAACGGCGACGAGTGCAAGATGCCGCCGCCCGACTCCTACCCCTACCTGCCCAACTCCGCGCCGCTTGTGACGCCGCGTTCCGTCATCACCGCTGCCTCGGCGTGCTTGCTCGTGCTGCTCCTGCAGGTGGCATGATCCATCTATCCAGGGTCTTTTACTCACATGCATCTTGGTAAATTTTCCCCATTTTTTTGGGAAAAAAAACAGGTTAGAGTATTAGGCAGGGGCATTTTGGTTGTCGATGTTTATTAAAACTAGCTGAGTGGTCCGTGCAGGTGCGCTCCGGCAACATATTTTGTTTAGGAGTGTGTGTGGTTGTCAAGTTAAGATTAAATAATCTCATACTAAAACTGTAATCCTTTTTTTGTATTTTATGGAATGAGTCAAACGCATGGCATTGTTACTTAGATCTTCATCTCTTTTAAATCCTTTTTCATGTAGTTCATCTCTTCATTGAGTAACATGTTTCCAAGGTCTCCCTAACAGAAGAGTTTGACACCGGGTATTTCAAAGTTTCTTCATAACTTGTCTCGCTAGATGATCCCCGCACGTTGCCGCACGATGTTAGCATGCCAACCAACTCACTGACACACGCACACTAAGGAAAAAGATGTTAGCTATGTGGTGCTACAACATCTGCCCACGTCCATGAAAGATCAAACCTGAAGGCAATTGTACTAAAAATAACTACTCTAATGAAATTGATTGACTTGATTGAGCCATGAATTATATGATTGTATGCATCTTTGAGATTAACTTTGAGAACATTCCCTGTTTATATGTAATTGAACTTCATGTATCAACAAAGTTATTGTAGAAATGTGGTGCCGACGGGGTGCAAAGTTTTAATATTTAAAGTTAGTGATGACACAGAGAAATTGCTACACTCGATCTCTGACTGAAATCTTGCAAGACAAACATACCTGAAGAAACAACCAAAAACCCTCATATTTGCAACAAATGTGAAAGCTGAAGAGCTAAAATAAATGGAGTTGCATAAAGCAAGAAGGTCCAAACCTGAATAGTTAATGTCTATGAGAATGGCCATGCATGTTAATACAACAACACTTTAAACTACATTAACATCCAACAGGAACAATAGTGCAGAAGAATCATCAAAGGACAATCATATCTGAACCACATAAAATTGGACCGAGTGTTTAATCCTAAACGAAACTGGTGATTCTAAAGCAAACATATACCCATCAAAACAATGAAATCCAGTTTAGTTAATCTAATCCATAAAGAAGTGGTAAATATGAAGAATTATCATCCAGTGTCGACGGGTTCGAGAGCTTAAGGCGCAAAGAACCCAATCTTTGTTTGAAGTCTCAAAAGTACTTGTACATGATAGTTCCCCTCGGCCTCACCAGAAGCAGTAGCACCAGCAGGATGACCCTTGTACTGAAATAAAATGGCATGCCAGTTCAAATGGGCATACCTCCAACATACTGAAAGCTGCTATACAGTATTACCTCCATCCCGAAAAGTTTGTCTTAGATTTTTGTCTAGATACGGATGTATCTAGGCACGTTTTAGTGTTAGATACATCCATATTTAGACAAGCCTTTTGGGATGGAGGGAGTAAAACATTGGCCAATGATCTAGTAATAATATACTCAAGAGATATGTTAGGTCAAGAAGAGATTTTAAATAAACAAAGTTGTTCCGATGAGACATTGAGGCAAAACACTATCGGATGAAATAACAGCTCATATAAAAAAGAGATGACATGCACACTAAGTATGCTACTCCCTCCCTTCCGGTCTATTGGACTCAATTCAAAAATCTCACCAACCAAGGTACGTATTGAGTGGTGATATAGTTTTTGTAGTTTGCAAAAATACTCAATTAATGCACTCGACTTTCTCAAAAAATTGTGTTTAGGCATTAATTGTACTTAAATTGTCATTTTTTTTCATTTTTGTATCGTTTTTTGTTTTTTGTTACATGAAATATCTTTTTCATATTACAATTTTTTTTAAAGAGGAAGTAGTCAATGAAAACTATTAGGGAAGAAAATGGACTTATCCCCAAGATATTTTGCCCATTGAACAAGTACAACAAGTAGACATTGCTATTTCATTATAGGAAACATGAATAATTGAATTAGTAATATGGGGTCGAGAAGCATGCAAGTCGGGCGAACTTTAGCTTTTGAACCCTAACATTTTGTAGTCAAGACCCAGAATTTTTTGTTTCCTTACAAACAGGGCCAAAACTTTGCCAAGTCGGGCGAACTTTAGCTAGAAATTTGGGCAACATAACACATTGGTGGGGAAGCATCCAAACCAATAAGAATTTCAAAATTCATTCATGCACTCCCAAGTCTGTTAGTACCATGGATGAACCTTAACTCATTCACTATTACCATCCTACCAAATAATTTACACAGCTGAAAGGATCGAGATGGACCTGGGGGGGGGGGTGAATAGGTACAATTACAAAATTTAATTATTACTAAGCAATTTTTAGGCAATAATGCGGAATATGAGAGTGAGCCTAACAATTGCAAGAGTAGTACTAAGTGCTAAGCAAGTAACACGTGTATGAAAGGAAACAAGCACAATATGAGATAAGTAAGAGCTAAGAGACAAGTAACAACAAGTAGAGAGTTAGGGTTAGGCATAACCGCAACTCCGGGAGACGAGGATGTATGCCGATGTTCACTTCCTTGGAGGGAAGCTACGTCACCGTTAGAGAGGTGGATGTTACCACGAAGGCACACCAACGCCACGAAGGCTCACCCTATTCTCCCTTTGAGACAACACCACGAAGGCATTTCTCAACCACTAGTGGTAGACCTTGGGGTGGTCTCCAAACCCTCACAAACTTTCCGGGGGTAATCACAATGGCTGATTCCTCACCGAATGACTCCTACCACCTAGGAGTCTCCAACCTCCAAGAGTAACAAGATCCAAGGGGAAAGACTCAGGACTTGCTCAAACCATGATTTGCTTTGGTCACAAGAAGGAGAGGGAGAAGATCTTTCTTTTGATTGGAATAACTCTTCAAAACTCTCAAGAACCAAGACGGGATCTAGGATTTAGTGTATCAGCAAGAGAGGGGGATCACTGGTGTTCTTGAGGCGTGTTTGTGTGAAGTGTTCAACCTTATCTCGAAGAGGTAAGGGACTATTTATACCACGTCCAGAATTGAGCCGTTTGGACAGAAGTTGACCAGCCCGGATGATCTGGAACACCACCCGGATGATCTGGACATTGTCCGGATTAATCTGGCTGAAGGCCCGGATGCAGATGGTAGCAGCAGAGCTGCGAGCAGCACGGACAGACCGGAGGCCACCCCGGACGATCCGGACATATCCCGGATGATCCGGATGCCTGGCCGGATGATCCGTCTACAACAATCTGGGTTCTGTGAAAACAGGGCAAGATTACCCGGATGATCCGGAACAGGAACCGGACGATCCGGGGCATAGCCCGGATGATTCGGAAGAACGTCCGGACGATCCGGCTTCAGCCACACCGTTCTGTGATGAAAACCGCCTATTATCCGGATGATTCGGAGCAAGGTCCGGCTGATCCGGGTGAAGCCCGGATGATTTGGGGAGCCGTACGGATGATCTGGCTAGGAGAAGTGGTAGGTTTTGGCTAAGGGGTTTTGCTAGGGATTTTGGTCTATTGTGAAAAATTGTTTGTGAGACAAAGTGTGAGGAAGTCTTGAACCTACACCTCGGATCCCCTCTTAATAGTGCGGGATTCCTATTACTCAAGAAATATAAAAGAGCACAATACTTCATCTTTGTTTGCTCCTTTCCTCATTCATAATTCGCTTGAGTAAAATCTCATATGATGTGATCATGATGCTCATTAGAAAAAACCAGAGGACTGACGGCCTGTGTATATACTTAGCAAACAAGGTTAGTCCCCTATATGTAGATTTGTCATCAATATCAAAAATACTCTTTAAGAGCAAGATTGCACTTTCAATCTCCCCCTTTTTTGGTAGTTGATGACAAACTACATACAGCACTCAAGAAGTGAAATGTGATGCGAATAATTCTAGGACAGTAGTCCGGTATGTGTTTTAGGAAGAGCTCCCCCTTAATGTATGCATAGGGATGTGTTTTAAGGAGAGCTCCCCCTTAATGTATGCAATGAATAAAGTGATAAAAATACAAAATCATGAACATATGGAGTGGATGCCCCCATTCGGAATATAGTGTTGTAACAGTAGTGTAGACATACACCATTAAAATCAACATAAGCAATGATAAGCAATGAATGAAGACAACATACTTAAGCACTTGCATGGTGACATAGACTCATAACTCATAAACTCGTACAAGGTATCATAACACATGACCAAAGTACCATAGTACCATTACAATAATAATAATGAGTCCACTTAACTAGAGCTCTAAGCATACTAGACACACACTCATACTCCTCCTAAGAATTACATCTCCCCCTTGACATTAAGTACCGAAAAAGGGGAAGATGGTCGAGAAAGTAGGAGGATCACGCAACATCCTCCTCCTCCTCCTCCTCATCATCACCATCACTCAGATCAGCAGGTGCAAGGAAGAACTCGGGAAAATCAGCGGCAGAAGGAAAGTCGACCTCCAGAAGAGGAAGACGATCAGGAATAGGCTCATCATGCTCGGCATGACTGCCAGGACGCGCACGGAGGCGAGCCCTAAGAGCATTTGCCTCAGAGATGCGGCGAACCTCCTCGGTAGCAATGCGAGTAGCGGTGTAGCGGTAGATATCAAAGATGGCTTTATGGGACTTCCCAATAAAGAGAGCAAGGCGGTCAAACGGCTTGAAGAAAGGTTTGGTGTGGCGAGAAGAGCTCTCACCACACGAAGGAGCAGGAGCCTTGCCCCTAGAAGTGTCATCACGCGGAGTCCACATGGAGTGAATGTTGGTCTTGTTGATGGGTCAAGTGAAGACAGAGTCAATGACGGTCTGAATGAAAGGAGCATGTGGAAGAGTACGAACCTTCAGACAACTAGCCATGCGAATCTCATGCCAAAGGAAATCTGCCATGTCAATGGAACGAGTGGGATTCTTCCGTGAGTAGTACATCAAATCAAAGCTGTAGGCCCGAACCATCCCACGACCCCCTTTCTTCTGAGCAATGGAGTTTAGGATACACTAAAAAAGCCACCG